TGCCATATGTCGTATACACTTCGGGATTCAGATTTTGTGATCACTATAGGATTGTTGAATTCTCAGAACAAACGAACACTTCCAACCCTTGAAAAATCGGTACACTTGTCCTGTTCCAAATGTGGCATTCCTGTCAGCGCAATGCACGTTACCTATGTTCATTGATTCTTTCCAATTTACCACTCCCCTCCGCCTCCCGCCCTTGTCCCCGACTCACAGAGTGAACGTGATGTTTCTGTTAGACAGCGTGCGGTCAACCTTCTATACGCCATGTGCGACCGGACAAATGCTCAGGCTATTGTTGGTGAAATGCTCAGTTATCTCGAGGTGGCTGACTACTCAATTCGCGAAGAAATGGTGCTCAAAGTGGCTATTCTGGCCGAGAAATATGCCACAGACTACTCGTGGTATGTCGATACCATATTGAATCTGATTCGTGTGGCTGGTGACTATGTGAGCGAGGAAGTGTGGCATCGTGTGATTCAAATCGTAATTAATCGTGAGGATGTGCAAGGTTACGCTGCTAAAACTGTTTTTGAGGTACGTCGGCTCAGTTTATTTCATATAAATGTTAACTCTGCGATTTTTGAGCGGTGGTTTTGGTTGTCGTCTTTTGGCTGCCTAATGGGCTAAAAGAGTATAGGCAAAATTTTGAATAGTAGAAGCTGTGCCTACGTAGAGATGCAAAAATTAATTCTGCAAGTAAATTGAGAGGATGCTCAAGCACCACAACTCGCGAAACTCTTCTATATCACTCCGTATATCTAACCGTTGCGCTTCGAATGATTCTGAGGTACCCAACCCAAAAGCAAAATACAAACTGTAAGTCCAAGTTCTCCGGATTGGGGTTTTCGTACATTCGTGCCACGTTTTGCTGTGACCACCTTTGACCTTTTCCCACCCAATAACCACCCCGGGAAATCATTGCACGTCGATGGAGTTCATCAAGTGACATCTGTAACACATACTCCAGCCAACGCAGTCTATGAAGTTGTAGTACTTGCTCTATTGGGCGACGGCGTTTGTCTAAAACTGTTCGCTCGATATCGTCATTGTCATACAACAGAACCGATTAAACAAGCTGCATATCGATTGTTTCTCCCGAACAGTTGTGGGATATGGGGACACTTTTGATACGATCCGGTTTATGAGATTGTGTGCGTTTGCGATCAAATAATATTTGTGGTGCACTTGTATGGTACTGCTTTGATGGCTCACCAGTTATTACAACGACTGGGTGACAGTTTTGGGTGTATTACACTAGTATAATACTTTTCATGGGTGCAGGCACCGTATGTAAGCACCGTATTTTTTTCATCATACTTCGGAT